ATTAGTTTGCAACATTGCCAACATATATTAATAAAAGTACAACGTACGAGAATGATCAGATAGATTATGCCTAATCAATAGCAAATTCAAGCACAAATAACTTTGAACTTAATAGCATAAACTTCATAAAAACTTACATTGCAAAAAGAAACAATAGGCCAAACATTTCTGGTGTGATTCGTGTTCATCATACACATTTACATCCGCTGCTTATCTTTGCTCAAATAAAGAGTTTCCCCCAACTTTAAAGAACTCGAAGTCATGCTTCTTACATCCGCACTAATCAAGCCAGTTTAGAGATAGTTCAGGGCATGTAGCATGATCATATTTGATAATGTAGCTTCACAAATGATCTTCCAATATGCTGATGAATCAATGCAGTGCGATCATAGTGCTCGTAAATTTCTTAACTGGGACTTGTTTGACAATGATATAGTAACCTGTGAAATGATCAAAGTTTAGACTAAGATGTCAGATTGCAGATAATCAAACTGATTGAGCGTAGTTATCAGCTGGACATTTTATCGAACACATGGTGTGCATAGCTACAACTGAGCTGTTTTTGAGTAGATGCTAAAAATTCTCAGCGCAAAAAAAAGCACATTTCACATATTCAAAGCTCACACTTTTCAATTCTTATTACCAAGCAATATAAGGTATTTTTGAGAGTGAGGGATAGCCCAAGTGGTTAGAGCTTCCCTCCCGGTTTCAGGAAACCCCCGCCCTTGTGGCTCTCTAAACACCAAAAACAAATATAAGGTAATGTTTTTGTAATTTGAACCCCTTTATTCACAACATATGGAACAGATTTAGGTCAGCATTAAACAAAACAAAGAATTGCGCGTTAAGGTTAGAGTTTGTAATTGATAACTAGAAAATATCTTATGCAACCGTTGTATATCCTACAACGGCAACCAATAATCCAAAAACCAATCAAACAATTTTTGAAACTTTTTAATTTAATGAAACCCCAAACCCCTTCCCCCACAATATTCATGTAAGAGTTGCATAGCGTACTTATTGTATGGAGTGTGCACTATATAGGAACTGCTTATATACATGATATTGATAAGCAATGCTTGTATAAAAGAGCTGCAATCGCATTGATCAATTACTAGATGACTAGATAGTAATCAGAGCATACACAACTCGCTGCCCCAACCTACAGTCAACGACCGCTTAATACAGTAATAGAAGCACGATCAACAGAACAATATTCATGAGCATTTTGTTGGGCTTCATTATGAGAAGCAATCCTTCTTTGTGTAAACCCAGGTTGAGTTGGATGAGGAAGATCTGTAACCTGACTCTCAATCATCGAAATAACCATGGAAACGCTCGGTCTATCCTCAGGAACTTCTTGCACACATAGCAGTCCTAGTTGTATGCACTTCAAAATCTCAGCATGGCGAGTAGATTCTGATATTGTTGGATCAATCAATGACAAAATATTGTCGTCGTTCCACAAATTCCATGCCTAAAACCATAAGAAGCATTAGTTTAGATGGTAAATGCACCGCCTTTCATATGAAGGCAAGCCACACAAGCAGAGAAATCATGGTAATAGATACCCAAAATATAGATATGGAATGTTATTAGATATCTTACATGACCTAAAAGGCTCGAGCATTCCTCGTCCTTGAAGCTACTGTTCCTTCTTCCACTTAAAACCTCCAGTAGTAGCACCCCAAAGCTGAACACGTCTGACTTTTCTGAAAACCGACCTTCCATTGCATACTCTGGAGACATATAACCACTGCATATAAAGCAAAAGAATGTAGGAGTACATGGAATAGCTCAGTACCCAATTGAAATGTTATATTCTATTTTATTTACAGAAGAAAGGTTTATGAACTATATGACTCACTAGGTGCCAACAATCCTATTGGTGTCGCCTTGGTCTTGGTTGCCACCAAATATCCTTGCCATGCCAAAGTCTGATATCTTAGGATTGAGATTGCCATCTAACAATATGTTGCTTGCTTTAAGATCCCTGTGAATAATCCTTAATCTAGAATCTCGATGAAGGTAAAGAAGTCCTCGGCATATGCCAAGGATGATGTTTAGTCGCTTTTCCCAGTCCAGAATCTTCTGATATGTTGGATCTGAGAATTTACAATTGTGGCATTAGCCATACAAAGATAACAAAATACCAATAGTAGGATTATGTTCTTATAGATATAACCACAAATTACCAAAGAGAAGTGCATCCAAGCTCTTATTTGGCATTAATTCGTACACCAGCATTTTTTCTTCTCCTTCAACACAGCACCCCAGCAGCTTGACAAGATTTCTGTGCTGAAGTTTTGAAATAACCAACACTTCAGTCATAAACTCCTCAAGTCCTTGCCCAGATGCTTTTGAAAGTCTTTTGACCGCTATCTCCTGTCCATCTTCAAATTTTCCCTGAAAAAAACCATTACATCTTCAAGTTCAGCCGTTTAGGTCCCCACTCACAAAGGGAAAAGTTTGTTTTCTCTTCAGTGCATTTACCTTGTACACGGTGCCAAAACCACCTCGCCCAAGCTTGTTACTATCCTGGAAATTGTCTGTTGCAATTGCCAACTTTTTCAATCCAAACACTGGTAAATCTCCAACTTCAGCTTTACTAGTTATGCCTTTAAGCATAGTGTTTTGCAGTAAAGTCTCCTTGCTCGTAATTCTCATTACTCCTACAGCAAAATTGTCCTATCAGAAAATACAGCCTAAAAACAATACTTCCAAGTAGCTATATCAGTAATATCACCCATATGAACTATGACGTATAAGTGAATTAGAAAAAAAAAAAAAAAAAAAAAAAAAGGAAGAACTCACCATTTCTTTGACGCATCCACCTCCATACAAAGTACATGACGGCAGCAGCCGTAGTTATTCCAATAATAACCATCACTACTAGAATAATGTTCCTTTTTCTAGTTTTAGCTTGCTTTGGTTGTTGCTTCTGCTGATTACCTGAAAACAGAACAAAATCATCAATTATTCAATAAATCAAATCTCACGTACAAGAATATAAAATGCCCAACTGGTGAGATGAAAGCCTGCAATACAAGTCTATGGGAGTAACACAAAGGGCAAGAGGTTAGAAACGGAGATGCACCTAATTCTGAATAAGCCAACCGAAGGGAAAGATCCATGACCTGATTATATAAATTATTTGTGTCAATTAAGCTGCCATTCCAGATCATACACCCAATACTTGAAAAATAAGAATAAGCATTACACGAACACTTTCCTAAGCACTGACTCCTACAATCATCTTCTCCATTTGCAGAAAACCACTCAGCATTATCTGGTACTTTCACATTTCCCAACTTCCAAAACACATCTGCTCTGTCTCCCTTAGTCTCACACAGCAGTGAAGTTCTGCGAACACAACCATCCGTCCAATTTCCTTTGCTCCATTCTTCATAGTTTTTTGGCACAAAGCCTTTTAAGCAGCCACATATAATTGAATTTGTTTGGTTACAAATCCCAAATGCTCCACACTTTCCATAATTATTACAGTCAAACTCTTGAGCACTCCATATAACTTCCCACTTTCTACTGCCTGTATTCCATTCTTTCTGGACAAGACTTCCATCATAATTCACTACAAAGTGTTGTTGAGTTGACTGGTTCCCCGAAGGATATCCAAAGTATGTTGTTCCATCGTTGTCAGTTAAAATGCTAAGAACTGAACCTTTTCCAAGGAATATATTTCCATTCCATGGGCTATTTCTCCAATTAGGATGATCATCATTCCATAGAAAAACTTGAGGAGGAACAAGAGTGTTAATACCAACAGTGAATTTACCACTGGATGGATCTGAAGGGCTCTTCCATGACTGAAATAGGTCTTGCTTGTTCCTCTCACTCTCATGAATGGTAAATTTCATTTGTGGCAAAAATGAATCTGTAGGATGCTCAAAACTCTGCCAGACATTGAGCTCACTAGCATTTGAACGCAAAACAAGATTTCCTGAGTCTAGAAGCTCAACAACTAAATTATTCTCCCGTTGAGATACATTTGATGACCAAAGCACCTCATTTTCCCCATCCATAAGTTGAAGATTTCCATCTTCTGATATTTTGAACACCCCAGAAGAATCATTAATTGGGTTTTCCCTGTTGCCTACCCATACCACTTCCAACTTATCAGACTCCTGATTACTATACCATATCCCAACATAACGATTCGTCGTGTTAATGGGGCTGAAAAAACCAAACTTGAACATGCCATCACTAGACTCTATTGTTTCAGGGTCTCTAAGAAACTGAGTGGTTGTAATATTGTTTCGAGCAATAATAAACTCAAGGAGAGAAATAAAACAGAGAAACAAAACAAACATGTGCATATAAGCCATAATTTTCACTGCGGATTTTCTCCTATAATTATACCTTAAAGAAAACAAAAAAAATAAAAAAATTCAGACGCTTTGCATATGCTTTTTTATGATTAAAACATCCATCCAATCAACTAAGACTCTGTTTGTTCTCATATAGTTAGTCAATGCTAATTAATGGCTCAGTTTTTGCCTTGTAGCATGTATTAGGATTTAGAGCAACTTGTCAGCTTTGTCTATACTCTTTGAGAACCCAATTTTGAATTTTATTTTGGTGCTTTCCCATACATTTAATCAGACAAAAGCGTGTGTTAGAATTTCAGGGTTGACAAATAAATGTTAGGAATGTAGCTTAAGTGCTGCACCCATAATCACTATGACTGTTATGATTACTTTCCACTTAGGAAAACTTGCCAAAAATCACCAAAAATAAGATTTTAACAATATTTTTGAAAGAAGATGCCTTAGTTGAATTCCTTGACTTCCTTTTTCAAGTGCTACCCACCCACGTGCATGGCATGTGACCACTAAAAAGTTATGTCCTTTGGTTTACTAGTGTCACTTAGAAGACAAAGGAACATTATCATGCATCATCAATCTTACAAAGCCAACGAGTATTGATACAAGGAAAAACAGAAAAAACTGATCATTAATAAGAACTAGCAGAACATAAAAAAATTAAACGAAAGGGGATAACTTAAAGACATTAAGAAGATCACCTATTTCTGAATGAGCAAGCCGAATGAAAATATCAGGACCAACAGGAGCGAAATTCTGTACGTCAATCAAACTTCCATTCCAGATCATACACCCAAAACCTAAAGTATAAGCATAAGCTAAACAAGAGCAATTTCTGAGGCACTTTCTCCTGCAATCCTCTTCATCATATGATTCCAACCATTCGGCATCATCTGGCACTTTAACGTTCCTTAACCTTGAAAATCCATCATCTTCCCCTCCTATATTTGCACATTGCAGAGGTGTTCTCCGAACACACCCACTACTCCAATTTCCTGCACTCCATTCTTGGTCATTCCTTGGTTGAAAGCCCCTCAAGCAACTACAGATTGGCAAACTATTCGAGTTACAACTCCCAAATTCTCCACACTTTCCATATATATCACATTCAGATTCTAGGGAATTCCATTCAATTTTCCAATCCTTTTTATCGTCTTGCCAATCTTTTTCTAACAACCTACCGTCATAAGTCAGCACATAGTATTTTGTCAGTCTTTTGGTTATGGAAGAAACTGATATGCTAACTGTGCCTTTATTGTCATTTTCAAGATTAAATCCATCAACCTGTGCAAAATAGTACATAGCTCGTATCCCCATCAACACTTGACCATTCCAAGGTCCTGATCGCCAATAAGGACGAACACCATCCCAGATGAAAACTTCATAAAGCCTACGGTGATTAATACCAACTGTAAACCGTCCATCTGATGGATCAGAAGCGCTCTTCCAAGATGTAACAAGCGGTGATATGGTTGAATTCTCATCAAAATACATATTCATATTTTGCAACATTGAGTCTGTAGGATGGTCAAAACTCTGCCAGATGATATTCCCACTAGAAGATAAAACTAAGTTTCCAGAATCCAGAAGTTGAGCAACAGAAGAATTAACCTTATAATTACCTGGTATGTTTGATGACCAAATACTCTTGTTTTTTTCATCCAATAGTTGAAGATTTCCATCTCCGGAAATTTTAAGCACCCCTGAAGAATCACTAAGAGGGTTATTTCTGTTCGCTATCCATACCACTTTTAATTGATTAGCAACCTCCTTAGTATACCAGATTCCAACATAGCGATATGTTGAGTTAATGGGGCTGAAAAACCCAAACTTGAAAATGGCATTACTAGACTCTAGAGTTTCCAGGTCTCTAAGAGATTGAGTGGTTGTAATATTTCGTCGAGCTGAACCAAACTCATAGACCCAAAACCAAGAGATAAAGAGCATGAGGATATGTGATAGAGTATAAAAGGACATAACTCATAATATTAGGTAGAGAGGACAAACAATCAGGATTCAGGAACCTTTGCGTATGCCTTGATACCTTTTTGAGCCTGAACTTTGGTCTTCCCTTCGTAATTGGGGGCTCAGTTTTTGCATTGCAAATTCCTGTTTTTCTAATTTTGTTTCATTGTTGACTGACTAACCTTATTACTAGAAGTTTCGTAAGCTAATTTACCTTTCTTCAAATTAATTATATTTTGGTTCTCTTACTTAATTACATCAATAAACTTTGTTCCAGTAATTCTCCCTACAAATTGACATACTATATGTTTCTTAGTATGAGAGTCTTCCTTAATTCAAGTATTAATATATCCTAGTTCCTTGTTTTTAATACGAAGTTATGACAGCAATGAAAGTTACTCATGCTTAATCAACTATATAGGCGGTCTTTTCATTAGCAAGTAGTAACTCAACTAGTAGTAACTTTAATATTTAAGACCCCAGATTCTCATATCAGCTACTAACAAACATGGTACAAGTTGTCTTATGCAGACATCAGAAGCACCATAACCTTTAAACTTTATTCATTTACTTATGTATTAATATTATAAAGCATTGTATCCATGCCCAATAACAATAATGCAACATACTTCTCTTGTTTATACTTAATTGACACATTTCTTTTATCCTATTTGTCAATGCACAAATCCAACCATCGATACCTTTTATGATTGACAAACAAAATAAACATCTGATAATATGTATTTGAGACAGATATAACAATATCTCATATGACTATTGACAATATTTTCAGTATGTATTGTTGAGTCCTTAGTCTATTGGCAAAGACAGGGGGCTTATGTATAATAGATAATATGTATTTGAGACAGATATAACAATATCTCATATGACTATTGACAATATTTTCAGTACGTATTGTTGAGTCCTTAGTCTATTGGCAAAGACAGGGGGCTTATGTATAATAGATTACAGGTTTGAATCCTGAACGTGTTCTGTCACAATTGCCAACCAATCCAAACAATAGTAAATTACCAACTTCAACTTTACTAGTTCTGTATTTAGTCATTGAGTTTTGCAATGGTCTCCATTCTTGTAACTCTTGTTACACCTACAGCATCATCTTATCAGAAAACTTCCAATAAATTATATTGATTTTGTTGCATAACAAGCAATAAAATGAATCAAAAAAGCGATGAAAATCACCATTTACTTGACATGTCCGCCTCCATGCACAATATATGTGAGACTGATGATGGCAACTGTAGCTATTTGTAAAATATAAATTAAAAAAAAAAAAAAAAAAAAAAAAAAAAAAAAAAAAAACATAACACTATCACTATAAATAATATTTTTGTTTTGCTAGCTTTACCTTGCTAGCTAGAATACCATATCACAACTGGTAATACACCAGATTTCAGCAACTGTTATCACTAGTCACAATATATACTTTAGGTTACCACTCTGCTCAAAACTGCTAGTCACCGACCACCTATGCAACTAATTGAAACACCATTAACTGAAAAACATTCACGGCCATTGCGTTGGGCTTCGTTCAAAGAAACAATTCTTCTTAATGTAAAGCCAGGTTGTGTTGGACGAGGTAGCTCTATTACTTCACTCTCTATCATGGAAACAACCATGGCAATGCTTGGTCTATCTTCAGGAAATTCTTGCACAGACAATAGTCCTACTTGTATGCACTTCAAGATCTCTAACTGGAAGGTGGAGCCTGAAATTGTTGGATCAATCAATGACAATATATCATCCTCATTCCATAATTTCCATGCCTAAAACCATAGAAACAATAAAGATTTAACAACCAATATGCACAATATTTAAAGATTAGAGCAAAGCAGGGTAACCCAGGTCATTGCAACAGATAATTTGAATCTCACAAAATGTGAATAAATCAATGAAAAAAACAGGCAATGAGAAAAGAAGATTCTCAAGGTTCCCAAGAAGAGAGCAGCTTAGCATGTTACAAGCTGCGTCCCCAATTTTTAAAATATATTAGCAATGTGTATGTAGTTACCCAGGAAGAGTGTGAAGGGTAGTTTATTTACTTTTAAACAACAAAACTAAAGACTCGTGTCAATTAACAAAGGAGAAAGTTAAAAAGTAGATTATTTGAAATTGATGTTGAAATGACAGTATAGAATATCTTACGTGACTTAAGAGGCTCCAAGTATCCTCATCAGTAAAGCTATTGTTCCTTCTTCCACTTACAATCTCTAGTAGCAGCACCCCAAAGCTGAACACATCTGACTTTTCTGAGAATCGGCCTTCCATTGCATACTCTGGAGACATATAGCCACTGTATTCCGAGAAGGAAAAAGATGCATTAGTTCTGTGATCAGTAAAAAGGTTCAATTCTGTTTAGTTTATAGTAACAATAAACATGGGCAGGAACTCACTAGGTGCCGACAACACTTTGAGTGTCACCTTGGTCTTGATTGCTTTCAAAAATCCTTGCCGTCCCAAAGTCAGATATCTAGGGATTCAGATTGACATCCAATAAAATGTTGCTTGCTTTAAGATCTCTATGAATAATCCTTAATCTAGAATCTGTATGAAGGTAAAGGAGACCTCTATATTTCCCTTTGATTATGTTGAAGCGCTTCAACCAGTCCAAATGTTCCCGATTCGAGAGATCTGAGTATAAAAAACACAGAACAGTACATCTATCGCCATTAGAACTAAAATAAATTGACAGATTGGATAAATTGGCCCAAGGTATTCAAAAGTTATGGTTCAAACCGAAGAGGAAAGCATCCAAACTCTTATTTGGCATGTATTCATACACCAATAGTTTCTCTTCTGCTTCTACACAGCAGCCCAACAATCTGACAAGATTTCTGTGTTGAAGTTTCAAGATTACAACCACTTCATTCATAAATTCTTGTGGGCCTTGCCCAGATGCTGTGTAGAGTCTTTTTACAGCTATCTCTTGTCCATCTTCCAGTAATCCCTATAAAAGGTGATCTGATCTTTATACCAATGTTATATACATTATATGCACTACATAATAGTTCTCAGTAAAATAAAAGCAGTTAATTACCTTGTATACCTGACCAAAACCCCCTCGACCTAGCTTGTTGCTTTTGGAAAAGCTGCTAGTTGCAGCAACCAAATCTTTGTATTTAAATAAAGGCAAATCATGGAAATCAACAGCCCCAACCTTGTAATGTTTCCATTTTGCTTCATTGTTTCATGATGTCTTCCCTGCTAAAGCAATAGTAAAATATATATATAAATGATGCTAGACAAAATTATGCAAACAAAAATAGTTGGTGAAAGTTCAGAAAATGTCACCATATTGTTGATGCATCCTCCTCCATAACTCGTAGAGGAAACTGGCTAATACAGAAGTACTCATAATCACAGTGACTGCAGTAATTACTTTCCATTTGCTGGTGTCATCTACTTGATAAAACCAAATTTGCACACATTATGAACTCATTTAGTAACATTCCACTTATCTCAACATTATAAAAATAAATTAATTAATAAATCAATTTGAATTCTTCTGGACAATTTTTTTTTCAAAAATTTATCAATGCACCACGTAGACGCAAGAAGAGCAGGAAAAACTATCAGAAACAGAAAATTGATCACCTAGTTCTGAACGAGCCAATCGAATGAAAAGATCGACACCGACAGGGGAGAAATCCTGTATATCGATCAAGCTTCCATTCCAAATCATACACCCAAAACCCAAACGATAAGCATAAGATGAACACAAACAATTCTTTAGGCACAGTCTCTTGCAATTCTGTTCATCGTCTGAAAGCAACCACTCAGCATTATCTGGCACTTTCATATTCCTAAACCTCAAAAACCCATCTTCTACCCCTCTTATAGTACCACACTGCAACGTTGTTCGTCGAACACACCCACTACTCCAATTCCCTGCACTCCATTCTTCGATATTGCTCGGTTCAAAGCCCCTCAAGCAACTACAAATTGGTGAATTATGTGAATTACAGCTCCCAAATTCTCCACACTTTCCATACATATCACACACACACTCAGTCTCAGATTCTAGGCTCTGCCATAAAACAGTCCAATCCCCTTTATCATCATTCCAATCTTTTTGTAACACTACACCATCATGAGTCAATATGTAATGTTGTGTAATTCTTTCATTCACGAAAGAAAATGATAGGCTAAATGTGCCTTCTTTGTCATTTTCAAAATGAAATTTATCAACTGGTGCAAAATAATACATAGATCGCACTCCAATAAACACATGACCATCCCAAGGGCCTGATCGCCAATAAGGGTGGTCACCATCCCAAATGAAAATTTCAGTAAGCTTGCGGTGATTAATACCAGCAGTGAAACGTCCAAGTGATGGATCCGATCCACTCTTCCAAGACGAAAGCAGTGACCTTGTGTTTGTTTTCTCATTAAAAGTTAGTTCCATAACTGGCAACATCAAGTTCACAGGATGGTCAAAACTCTGCCAGATAATATCACCAGTTGCATTTGAGAGTAAAACAAGGTTTCCAGTATCCAAAAGTTGGGCAGCAGAAGCATTTATTTCACTATTAATTATTTTTGATGACCAAATACTCTGGTTTTGTCCATCCAAAAGCTGAAGATTTCCATCCCCAGATGTCTTAAGCACCCCAGAAAAATCAGTCAGTGGGTTTTCCCTGTTGGCTACCCATACCACTTCTAATTGGTCAGCAACCTTCTTGTTATACCAGATTCCGACATAGCGATTCGTTGAGTTAACAGGGCTAAAGAATCCTAACTTAAAATGACCTCTACTAGACTCCAATGTTTCTGAATCTCTAAGCAATTTAGTGGCTATAATATCACCTCGAGCCAAACCAAATTGCTCAAAGACCCAAAACCAAGAGAACAAGAGCACAAGGGTGTGAGCATAAGCCATGATATCAAATTATCAAGTAGAAAGTAATCAACTTTTAGAGAGTAAAAAATCTGGAGCTATGTTTATGCCTTAGTTTATTTAAGATAACACCCAAAAAAATTGGTATTTCCAATAAAAATTGGTTTATCCTTTGTGGGTTCAACTGAAGCAGCTGTCAGCCTGTCAGCAAATTACAGTTTTCGTGTCACACTGGTGTTGTTTTCAAATTACTTTCTATTATTATTGTTGATGACTATTCAAAGAAATAATCTTCTCCATTTCAACTGATGTCACACAAAATCTCAGTGAGGCAATTTAACAAACAGTTAGTGTGCATACAAGAAATATGCATAATAATAAAACGCTTACCTTAAATGGAGTACTATGAACTTATTTTCTGGGTTGCCCATTTGAATCCTAGCACTTTGCTTGCAATTGACGATCTAATTCCAATCATAAGTGATTTAGTAAATCAAAAACAAAAACAAAATTTAAAAAACAAAATATTAAAGAGAGAAAAAAAAAAAATCTAAGTCTTGAATACTACTAGTACCTGATTCATTTTGTGTTAATGTAGGAGCATTTCAAGTACTTCTCCAGAATCCAGACTATTTAAGAAGAGAAGAAATGGAGAGCAAACTCAATTCATTAGTGGGGCTGTTGAGTTCTTGGTATCTATTGTTCTTGCAATTTGATCACTCAAAATTAGAAGATTTTTCAAACTAATTACGAAAATGTCACTAGACTTGTCGCCTCTTACTTTTGGCCTTTTGGGTATTGTACAAGATTTATATGGTACGGAGTAATGAAATTCGTATACTTTAGGAGTCACGTTAAAATATGGTAATGAAATACGTATACCACAGGAGTCACGTTAAAATAGAGTTTCAAAAGAAATCTCACCTCGTCTATGTGTTTCATAGTTCAAAATCAATCCGGTTAATGCAAGGTATTAGGCGTACAATCGCACAAGGAAGTGATGGAATTGAATGAGTACCATTCAATTTCACCCCTAGACTTGTACATAGGTATTCTTACAGCAGAATGATTAACTAAGAAAGTTAAGAGATGCAACAAAGAATTGAAAGTTGGCAATGTCTGATATCTGCAAATTCATACTTGGTATGATCTCTGACAAGAATTAGTTTCTGTCAAAAATTATTCTAGGCAGAAATGGCCACTAGATACTAATCACAACATACACAACTCAGTGCCCAAAATGGCAGTTATCGACCACTTAAGGAAGTAATAGATACAGGATTAAGAGAATCATTTTCATGATCATTTAGTTGAGCTTTATAAACTCTTCTTTGAGTAAAGAAGGTTGAAATGGACAAGGTAGATAGGTAACCTCACTCTCAATCATCGAAAGAACCATAGAAATACTCGGTCTATCATCAGAAAACTCTTGCACGCATAGCAGTCCTAGCTGTACACACTTCAAATTTTCTGCATGGAAGGTTGATTCTGAAATTGCTGGATCAATCAGTGACAGAACAGTGCCATCAATCCACAATATCCATGCCTAAAATGTAAAAGCAATTAGGTTAGATGTTTAGTACTCTACATAACCGTTCACTTAGAGACGAAGAGAGCAAAGTTCGTAGAGCTAAACTAAACTAGTGCAGAGTTTTTATGCAATTTCCAGCATGAGCGGTTACCAGACCCATATGGTTAGGCCATATGCTGTAGCCTGTAGGTGTAACAAGACTTACAAGAAAGGAGACCATGTACACAACTTTTGTAACATAATTAACATTTTTAAACTTGAGGAAGAAAACAATGTCACCCGCATTCACACTCTAAAACCTGACTTTGAGATTATAAAAAAAAATGTTGGAATGGACAACTTAACCAAAATTAGGTGAGGAATTGAAACTTAAGGTTTAAAGATTGTTGTAATTTAAAGCTATGCCTAGGATAATAATGATACGCTTTTTCTAGTCCAGAATCTCCTAACAAGTTGGATCTGAGTTTTAAAGATTGTTGCATTAATTACACTAAGAAAGACAACTAATGACCAGAGATCATCTTACCAAGTAGGATAATGAGCTTAAGAATGTATGCACAATATATAACACCGGCCTTTCTCTTCTCCTTCTATACAGCACCGTGGTCTGCAGCAGCTCGACAAGATTTCATGATGAAGTTTAAGATAACCAACAATTCAACACTTCAGTCATGAATTCTTGAGTCCTTGACCAGATGTTTCCGAAAGTTTTCTAATCACTATCTTTTGTTCATCTTCTGTTTTTCCTGAATAAACATAAAAATTTCAGATTTCCAGTTACAGCTTTGCTGGTAAATTAGCCCCTGCAGCCCCAAAAAAAAAAAATCCCCGCATACGAAAAAAAGGAAAAAAAAAAAAAGAATTTGCAATTACCTTCCCCACTGCGCCAAGACCACATTGGCCAAGCTTGTTAATATCATGAAAGTGGTCTGTCACAATTGCCAACTAATCCAGATCCAAACACTAGTAAATTACCAACTTCAACTTTACTAGTTCCGTATTTAGTCATGGAGTTTTGCAATGGTCTCCTTTCTTGTAACTCTTGTTACACCTACAGCATCAATTTATCAGAAAACTTGGCCAATAAATTATGTTGATTCTGTTGCGTAAAGAGCAATATAGTGAATGAAAAAGAGATGAACCTCACCATTTCCTTGACATGTCCACCTCCATGTACAATATATGATGAGATTGATGATGGCAACTATAGCTATTTTTAGGAAAAACCAATAACCATCACTATAAATACTATTTTTGTTATCACTAGTCATAATACATAAATGTTACCGGACTTACCGCTCTCTGCTCAAAACTGCTAGTCACCGACCACCTATGGAACTAATTGAAACACCATTAACTGAAAAACATTCACGGCCATTGCGTTGGGCTTCGTTCAAAGAACCAACTCTTCTTAATGTAAAGCCAGGTTGTGTTGGACGAGGAAGCTCTATTACTTCACTCTCTATCATGGAAACAGCCATGGTAATGCTTGGTCTATCTTCAGGAAATTCTTGCACAGACAATAGTCCTACTTGTATGCACCTCAAGATCTCCAACCGAAAGGTGGGCTCTGAAATTGTTGGATCAATCAATGACAATATATCATCCTTATTCCATAATTTCCATGCCTAAAGCCATAGAACAATAAAGATTAACAATCAATATTCACACTATTTACAGACGAGAGCAAAGCAGGGTTACCCAGGTCATTGCAACAGATGTTTTGAATCCCACAAAATATGAAAAAAACAATAAAAAAAAACTGGCAATGTGAGTAAAGAAGATTCTTAAGGTTCCTCCGGAGAGAGCAGCTGAGCATGAGACGAGCTATATCCCCAATTTTGTAAATATGAACAATGTGTATGTAATTACCCAGGAAGAGTGTGGGAGTAGTTTATTTACTTTTAAACAACAAAATTGAGGACTCGTGTCTATCAATAAAGGTGAAAGTTAAAACTAGACTATTTGACATTGATGTTGAATCGACAGTACAGAATATATTACGTGACTTAATAGGTTCCATGTATCCTCATCAGTAAAGCTATTGTTCCTTCTTCCACTAACAATCTCTAGTAGCAGCACCCCAAAGCTGAACACATCTGACTTCTCTGAGTATCGGCCTTCCATTGCATACTCTGGAGACATATAACCACTGTATTCCGAGAAGAACGGAAATTAAGAAAAAGATGCATTAGTCCAATGATTAGCAAAAAGGTTCAATTTCGTTTATTTTATAGTAAGAATAAACATGGGCAGGAACTCACTAGGTGCCAACAATCCTTTGGGTGTCACCTTGGTCTTGATTGTTTTCAAAAATCCTTGCCATCCCAAAGTCAGATATCTTGGGATTAAGATTGTCATCCAATAAAATGTTGCTTGCTTTAAGATCTCTATGAATAATCCTTAATCTAGAATCTCTATGAAGGTAAAGGAGACCTCTACATATCCCTTTGATTATGTTGAAGCGCTTCAACCAGTCCAAATGTTCCCGGTTTGAGTGATCTGAGTATTAAAAATACACAGAACAGTACATCTATTGCCATTAGAACTAAAAATTGATTAATATAATGGATGAATGTCTAAGATACTCAAAAGTTATGGTTCAAACCAAAGAGGAAAGCATCCAAACTCTTATTTGGCATGTATTCATACACCAATAGTTTCTCTTCTCCTTCTACACAACAGCCCAACAATCTGACAAGATTTCTGTGTTGAAGTTTCGAGATTACAACTACTTCATTCATAAATTCTTGTGGGCCTTGCATAGATGCTGTAGAGAGTCTTTTTACAGCTATCTCTTGTCCATCTTCCAGAATTCCCTATAAAAGGTCATCTAATCTTCAGACCAATGTTCTCTCCACTATATTACAGTAAAAGCAATTAATTACCTTGTACACCAGACCAAATCCACCTCGACCTAGCTTGTTGTTTTCAGAAAAGCTGCTAGTTGCAGCCATCAACTCTTTTAATTTAAACAAAGGTAAACCATGGTAACCATTATGACTTATTCCAGCCCCGACTCTGTAATATTTCCATTTTGCTTCATTGTTTGTTGATGTCTTCCCTGCTTAAGCAACAGCATTATAAATCAATGTTGCTAGACAAAAAATTGTAGACTACAAAAAACAGTTGGTGAAAGGGCAGAAGATGTCACCATATCGTTGATCCATCCACCTCCATAAACAGTATAGGAATATGGCTAGTGTAGAAGTACCCATAATCACTATGACTGCAATAATTACTTTCTGTTTGCTGTTGTCACCTACTTAAAGCAAATTTACACACATAATTAACCATATAAACTCGTATAAATTCCACTTATCTCAGCATTATAAATTAATTAATTTTATTACTCTTGAACAATTGGTTTTTTCATTAAACTGTGTATCACATAGGAGCAAGCAGAACACAAAAAACTATCAGATAAAGGGAAATGGTCACCTAGTTCTGAATGAGCCAATCGAATGAAAAGATCAACACCAACAGGGGAAAAATCCTGTATGTCAATCAAGCTTCCATTCCAGATCATACACCCAAAACCCAAATAATAAGCATAAGATGAGCACAAACAATTCTTTAGGCACAGTCTCCTGCAATTTTGTTCATCATCTGAAAGCAACCACTCAGCATTGTCTGGCACTTTCATATTCCTTAACCTCAAAAACCCATCTTCTTCCCCTTCTATGGTACCACACTGCAATTGTGTTCTTCGAACACACCCACTACTCCAATTCCCTGCACTCCATTCTTCGTGATTTCTTGGTTCAAAGCCCTTCAAGCAGCTACAAATTGGTGAACGACGTGAATTACAGCTCCCAAATTCTCCACACTTTCCATATATATCACACTCAGTCTCAGATTCTAACGTCTGCCATAAAATTTTCCAATCACTTTTATTATCTTTCCAATCTTTTTGTAGCACCACACCATCATGAGTTAATACATAGTGTTGCGTAACTCTATCATTCGCAGAAGAAAATGATAAACTAATTGCACCTTCATTGTCATCTTCAAAATGAAATCCTTTAACTGGTGCCAAGTAATACATAGACCGTACTCCAATAAACACATGACCATCCCAAGGACCTGATCGCCAATAAGGGCGGTCACCATCCCAGATGAAAATTTCAGTAAGCTTGCGGTGATATATACCAGAAGTGAAACGTCCAGTTGATGGATCTGAAGCACTCTTCCAAGACGAAAGCAGTGATCTTGTCTTTGTTTTCTCATCAACGGTTAGCTTCATAAGTGGCAACATCGAGTTTACAGGATGGTCAAAACTCTGCCAGATGATATCCCCAGTGGCATTTGAGAGTAAAACAAGGTTTCCAGTATCCAAAAGCTGAGCAGCAGAAGCATTTACTGCATTATCTTTTATCTCTGATGACCAAATACTCTTGTTATGTCCATCCAAAAGCTGAAGATTTCCATCCCCAGATATCTTAAGCACCCCAGAAGAATCACTCAGTGGGTTTTCCCTGTTGGCTACCCATACCACTTCTAATTGATCAACAACCTCCTTATTATACCAAATTCCAACATAGCGATTCGTTGAGTTAACAGGGCTGAAAAATCCTAGCTTGAAATAACCTCTACTAGACTTCAGTGTTTCTGAATCTCTAAGAAACTGAGTAGCTGTAATATCTCCTCCAACGGAACCAAATTGCTCAAAGACCCAAAACCAAGAGAACAAGAGCACAAGGGTGAGGACATAACTCACATAAGCCATGATATCAAGTAGAAAGCAATCAACTTTCAGAGGGTAGAATATTTGGAGCTTATCTTATGCCTTAATTTAATTTAACACCCAAATTTTTGGTCTTTCCTCATTAAAAGTCTTATCTAATTGAAGCAACTATCAGCTCTGAGTTAAGACTTTTCTTAAGAAGCAAAGTTCAGTCTTCGTGTCACACTAGTATTGTTTTCAAACTTTCTCTATGGTTTTTTTTTTAAGTTGATGACTTTTCAAATAATTGGACTTCTTCATTTTTATTGGTGTTGTACAAAATCTCAGTGAGGCAAATCAACAAGCAGTTGGTGTGCATACAAAAAATACACAAATTAAAGTAATTACCTTAATTGAGTATTATGTTCTTATTTTTTGGGTTGCCCATTTTGAATCTCTTGCACATTGCTTGCAATTGTCCCAGTAGAAAAGTTTGCAGCATATGGTGGTGATCTGTATTTCAGTATTTTCAATCATACGTGATTTATAGGAACAAACAAACAAAAAAAAAAATCATCAATGTTTCTTGAGTCTTGAATGATACCTGAGTCAAAAGTTCCAGAACCAAAAGATTTTGTGCTAACGTAGCTATATAACAGCAATTCAAGTAATTGGGCTTCGAGAAGAGAGAAAATGAAGAGCAAACTAAATTCTCCTTACTCAAGTATTTGCAAATATAGTGTAAAGTGCGGAGTATTTGGCATATAATCACAAAAGGAAGTCATGCTTACAACAGTTTCATGTATGATTGACACAACTAAGAAAGTCAAGAGAAGCAACAAAGAACTGAAAGCTGGCAAGTGGCAATGTCTATATCTCAAAACTCATACTTCGTATGAACTCTGACAAGAATTATTTCCTGTCAGAAATATGGTCACTGGATACTAATGACAACTTACAGTACTCAGCTGTCCAAAACAGCAGTTATCGACCACTTAAGGCAGTAATAGAAACATGATTAACAGAACCATTTTCATGATCATTTAGTTGAGCTTCATTACGAGAAGTAACTCTTCTTTGTGTAAAGCCAGGTTGAGATGGACAAGGTAGATCAGTAACCTCACTCTCAATCATCGAAAGAACCATAGAAGCACTCGGTCTATCATCAGGAAACTCTTGCACGCATAGCAGTCCTAGTTGTACGCACTTCAAAACTTCTGAATGTAAGGTTGTTTCTGAAATTGCTGGATCAATCAGTGACAGAATATTGCCCTCATTCCACAATTTCCATGCCTAAAACGTAAAAGCAATTAGGTTAGATGTTTATCACTCTTCACACAACCGTTCACTTAGAGACAGAGAGCAAAGTTCGTAGAGCAAATCTAAACTAATTGTACAGAGTTTTTATGCAATTTCCAGCATGATTGGTTACCAGACCCATATGGTCAGGCCATTATATGGGTTGTAGCAGCCTGATTATATAGTGCATTATAGATCCTATAGTTTTATCATGAAAATAGATAATCGGAATCATGCGACAACATCTAATCATCCATCAATCATGTCTACTCTACAGTCTACACCATTAGACATCAATATAGCTATGGACATAAAGTAAGACATCTTACATGAATTAAGAGGCTCAAGGAGTCCTCTTCCTTGAAGCAATTGTTCCTTCTCCCACTTACAATTTCTAGTAGCAGCACCCCAAGGCTAAACACATCCGACTTCTCTGAAAAACGACCTTCCATAGCATACTCAGGAGACATATAACCACTGCATTTAAAGCAAAAGAGTTTAGCAATGATGGATTAGCTCTCTGCACAATGTTAAATTCTCTTCTATTTACAAAAAATGTATATATGAGCAGGAACTCACTAAGTGCCAACAATCCTTTTGGTGTCACCTTGGTCTTGGTTACCTCCGAATATCCTAGCCATGCCAAAGTCTGATATCTTAGGATTGAGATTGTCATCCAGCAAAATGTTGCTTGCTTTAAGATCCCTGTGAATAATCCTTAATCTAGAATCCCGATGAAGGTAAAGAAGTCCTCGGCATATGCCTAGGATAACATTGAATCGCCTTTTCCAATCAAAAATCTTCTGATATGTTGGGTCTGAGATTTAAAGATAGTGTCGTTAATCACACCCAGGAAGATCATTAATAAAAGACCATCCTTCCAAGTAGACTAAATAATTAATGAGACCTTAAGAATGTATGCACAATTTACCAAAAAGAAGGGCATCCAAGCTCTTATTAGGCATGTATTCATACACCAGCATTTTTTCTTTTCCTTCGGTACAGCAACCCAGCAGCTTGACAAGATTTCTGTGTTGAAGTTTTGAGATAACCAACACTTCAGTCATGAACTCTTTAAGTCCTTGCCCAGATCCTTTTGAAAGTCTTTTCACCGCTATCTCCTGTCCATCTTCTAATATTCCCTGCAAATTAACGAAACTTCATATTTTCAATTTCTGGTAATCTCTTACTTACTCACCCCATACACAAAAACAGAAGTAAAAAAAAAAAAAAATCTATGTAGGTACCTTGTACACAGCACCAAAACCACCTCGCCCAAGCTTGTTAAGATCCTGAAAATGGCCTGTCGCTATTGCCAAATTTTCCAATCCAAACACTGGTAAATCACCAACTTCAACCTTCATAGTTCCTTCTTTAGGTATGGAGGTTTGTAATAAAGTCTTCTTTCTCATAATTCTCGTTACTCCTATTGTCTTATCAGTAAACAAAACCAGATTGTAATATTGGAACTAGTGCACAACAAGTGGTATAACACAATAACGTATAAGTGACTGAAAAGGGGGGAAAATCACCGTTTCTTTGACACATCCACCTCCATACACAGTATATGATGACAGCAACTGCAGTTATTCCAATGATAACCATCAACATACGAAACTTTTTGGCTTTGCTAGCTTTATCTTGCTGTTGCTGCAGCTTATTAAGTTCAACTGAAAAAAAAAAAAAAAAACAAAAACAAAAAAGAAAAAATTGATCAATTTTTCAATATTTTTAATTTAATGCACAAGAATAAAAATTGCCCAACAGATGCTGAAATGCAAACCAATGGAAATAATACAAGGCAGAACAGGCAAAATATTAGAAATGATCACCTATTTCTGGATGAGCCAACCGTATGAAAAGGTCTACACCAACGTATGAAAATTCCTGTATATCAATCAAAGTTTCATTCCAGACCATACACCCTAAACCAGGATAATAAGCATAAGCTAAACATTTACGATTTCCAAGGCACTGTTTCCTGCAATCATATTCATCATCTGAGTACAACCGCGCAGAATTATCAGGCACTTTCATATTAGTGTACTTGAAAAACCCATCTTCTTCCCTTCCAACAGTCCCAAACTGCAAAGGTTTTTTTCGTTTACACCCGCTACTCCAATTCCCTGCATTCCATTCTCGGCTATTCCTTGGTTCAAAGCCGTGCAAACAACTACAAATAGGCAAAAGATTTTTATTACAACTCCCATACTCTCCACACTTTCCATAAATATCACAGTCAGATTCTAGAGACCTCCATAAACTAATCCAATCCCCCCCCCATCAGCTTCCATATAATATTTCTTTAACAATAGACCATCATAATTCAATACATAGTGCTCCGTAACTGTTCTAGTTTTGGAAGAAAATGATAGGTTAAATGTGCCATCAATTTCACCATCAATATGAAATCCATCATCTTCTCCATAATTGTACATATCTCGTACTCCCAGAAACATATCACCATACCATGGCCCTGATCGCCAATATGGAATACCACCATCCCAGACAAAAATTTCAGGGCGACCGCGATGGTTAAAACCAGCAGTAAAGCGGCCAACAGATGGATCTGAAGCACTCTTCCATGACGCAACCACAGGCGTTGTAGCTGTATGATTATCATCAAACCTTAATTTCATATGATGCAACAATGAGTTTGTAACCTGGTCAAAACTCTGCCATACCACATTATTCCCACTAGCATCTGCAAGTAAAACAAGGTTCCCAACATCTTGAAGCTGAGCAACACATGAACTGTTACTAACCTTGTTCGGAACAACTGCTGTTACATTTGATGACCAAATGCTCTTGTTTTGTCCATCCAAGACCTGAAGATTTCCATCCCTGGATATTTTGATCACCCCTGAAGAATCATTAAGTGGGTTTTCCCTGTTGGCTATCCATATCACTTCCAATGTATCACGACCTTTATTATTATACCAGATTCCAACATAACGGTCTGTTGAGTTAATAAGGCTGAAGAAACCAAACTTGAAATTGCCATCACTAGAGTCTATTGTATCAGGGTCTCTCAGAGACTGAGTGGTTGTAATATTGTTTCGAGCGCAACTAAACTCATAGAACAAAACCCAAGAGAGAAACAGAATAACAAAGTAGACATAATAAGCCATAAATTCAGTAGTAAGGAGAAAAAAAATGTAAGGGCGTGAAACATAATTAAAAACATCTTGTATTCCTTTACCTTTATAATTAATGTAATTAAAAGTGTACTTCATAGAAGTATACTAATTTGTGGCTCTGTTAGCTCATCTTCAAAATTTGTAAGTTAACATAGCACCAAACAAACTTTGTAAGTTTTCATAGCACCGAGTAGACTTGTATGACTTCATGACTCAGTAAGCAAAGGAATGAACAACCCTATCGCCAATTGCCTCACAATTTGAAAAATGGCCCACCATTCCTATTCATTCTAGAAAATGAGACCTGACCTTAGTTTTGGTTTATTTGCCGACATCAAACAGAGTGGTCGTCCAAACATTATCAATTTCTTATTCCAAATGATTGTGATATTACACCCAATTAAAACCTTAATCTACAAAATTGCCCCAAATTAGTTAAACTTAAGCCAGTCATGAGCAATAAGTAAAAGTTGTAGGGATAATTACAGTCCTAAAAAAACTGGAAAATGAAAACTTCCAAGATCTTCAACCCCTTGCTTGGACGTTCAAAGCTAAGATAACTTTCATACATTATGTTTAGGATTATTTCGCCAATTTATTAATGTGAAGGTTTTTCCCCAGCAGCATTATCTAGAATAAAGGTCTCTTAATTCACCTTACATGAGTTACATGGATATGTGGAGTACAACAAAAAATGGAATGCCAACAGCAAATGAAATCTTCAAACATCAAATGACCTTTGGCAATACTTTCATTAAAAAATAATTGGTCACATACTTACAGATAATCACACTCAGCAAATGCAATCAGATAAATACTTAGATAAAACAGGATGCAGCTCTAACCCAAAATTGTTGTCAGCGACCAACTATAGAACTAATTGAAACATTATTATTTGAATAACAACCACGGTCATTTTGTTGTGTTCCATTCCAAGAAGCAGTTCTCCTTAGTGTAAATCCAGGTTGTAATGGATGAGGAAGACCTGTAACTTCACTCTCTAACATAGAAACAACTGTTGTGATGCTTGGTCTATCCTCATGAAATTCTTGCACAGACAACAGTCCTACATGTATGCACCTCAGAATCTCTGCTTGCAAGGTTGATTCTGAAATTGCTGGATCAATCAATGAGAAAATGTCGTCCTCATTCCACAAATTCCATGCCTGAAACCGCAAAGAGAATGAAGCCAAACAGTAAATACACAATCTTACGCACAGAAGCAAGCAAAACAGAGTATATTCAGGTCATAGCTACATATATATGAAACCATGATGTGACA